AATGAAAGCTTACTGAGCATCCTGCGAAATGGTGGACGAACCCGGTACATAAGGAACCCTACTGTGGACATTACTTCAGTCAGACGAGGTTAAGAAGTCTCATACCAGAAAGGTGTTGGGAAATACAATTCACTCTCATACCGAACGGGATATCAAGAAAATTATATTTTTGGCACCCATTACTGGACGGGGTATGGAGACGGCTGGGTTAATTGTCAAATCTTGATACTGGATTCACGAATAGAGGGATATCCCTATGGGGTCCAAGTGAGTAGGACAAAAAGGAAGGATTAATAATCCTATGCATAAAATTGAAATGTCATATGGTTAGTTGTCTTCATAGGTTGATTTTGGAAAAAAAAAATTGTAACAGTAAGTATCGAATAAAAAGTTTTAAAGATAAATGTATTTACTTAAAGTAAGGGCTCTATTAGCTATTTTCTGATTTTTACCAACCTTTAGTTTTCCATATCAATTATTAGTGTGATATTCTTAGCAAACTAATGTAGCTCACCATTTTATTAATTATTTCAAATCAAGAAAATCAAGATCCAGATCCCGATCAACAAGAGTGTTGTGAGTAATCCACATTCCGGACTCCCTTCAAGTGGTGGTGAAGGTTGTCTTAGGATATTTATTTATTCGTTTTTCTTCAATTGACGTTTTTCTTTTATGAACTACGTAGAAGGAACATTTCTGTAACCCTATTCGACAATTTAATTTAATATGTAAAGAATATAAACCCTAATATTATTATTCGCTTCCGTATTTAAATTATAAATTCATTTTTTTTAAGGTTCCGAGTCTTTATAAAAATTGAACCTTTAAAAAAAATAAAAATTTTATAAACTAAATTGTAACAAATAGTAATTTAATAATTTTATAATAATTAAAAATTATAATTTCTCAAATTAAGATTATAAATATATGACACAAATTATGTAACAGCCCCGGAAATTCAAAATGAAATTTATATTATAAATATCAAATGCGGAAGCGAAGTCAAAATTGAATAACATCCCTTACACTAAAACCAAAAACGTGCTCACAAAATATAAAAGATCAAACTACCTAAAGGAGAAACTTGAAAGTAAAAGCTATGAATGTGACTATCGAGTCTTTAGGCGTCCCCTTCGTCGTCCTCCTGCGGAACCGGCTTGGGAACGATGTCCTCTTGATCTGAAATGATTAAATAAGGAATGAGCTACACTAGCCCAGTAAAGACATCACGATATCTCACCGTCACGGAGGTAAAGGTGGGTAGAAAACATAAAAAGACCAATGGAGCATAATTTACAACAAATTCTTTTATCGATAATAAAACCTTTACCATTCACTTACCTCGGTGAAATTTATAAAACAATATACGAAAGCAATAACATCATCATCATCATGAAACCATATATATAAACTGTATAACATAATACATATCAAACTTTTCGTAATTCAATCGTTACACAACATATTTTTCTCATTTTCCAGCCCACTAGTATCCATGGGGATCCATAGGGGTCCCGCTACCCGTTAACCCTTAACACTTGAAATCACATTCTAGGGCCGTCCCCATACCCCGTCCGGTATGGGCGCCAAACCATATACCTCATTACCCCGTCCGGTATGAGGGTGAAACGGGCCGTCCCCATACCCCGTCCGGTATGGGAGACCACAATCCCGGTAGGGTTCCCTACGGACCCGGTTCGTCCACCATCTCCCAGGATATCTAGTCAGGCTGACCACAGTATACAATTTCTATTTACATAATCTTTCATTCTCCTTTTCCCTCAGTCAGCATTATCAATCACATACAAACAAGCAAAACGATAATTTATGCCAAACAGACAACATACAGCATCAATATCCCGGTCATTCAATCCATAATCAATAAAACAGTAAAATATGCACATGAAATCATAAAATGAAAACATCGAACCTCATGCTGCATTTAAAACTGTAAAACAGGCCAAATAACAGTTAACCGACAAACACACTAGACTCGGGCTCCATTAGCGACCTTAAGAAATTTCACACATTTGTTGATTCATGAAAAACCGTTTTATCATTTATTGAACTTTAAAACCGTGATAGGAAATAGGGTGAGGGGTCCTTACTCGTTTCGGAGTCCGAGCACGGCTTCACAATGCCCTTGCAAGCTGTCCCTAATTTTCCCTGAATTTTTCTCGGGGAACTGAAACGCACTACTGGTACCTGCACGTGTTCCAAAAAATCCCAAATTAGGCCCAGGGCCCCTTTCGGCCAATATCGCAACTCCGGCACAGCGGCTCCGCCGTGCTCCGGCGACGGCGCCGCCGCAAGCGGCGGCGGTTCGCCTCCGCAAGCGGCGGCGGTTCGCCTCGAGTTGACCGTTTTCGGCCACACTCGCATTGGTTCCTGCGATAAAACAACCCTACGGTCCTCGGGCGGCCGAAAATTTACGGAAAACCGAAGCTTACCGGCGGCGGTGCT